AACAAATCTCCGTTCCGAGATTGGAATTATGCGCTGCTGTACTACTAACGCGCTTACTGAATGAAGTAAGAAATATATTGAATATTCCTAAAGAAAATGTTTTCGCCTGGACTGATTCAATGGTAGTTTTGTCTTGGCTGCAGTCACCGCCAAGCAGATGGAAAACATTTATAGGTAATCGAGTTTCTGAAATTATACAGCTAATGGATAATGAAAAATGGCATCATGTAAGGTCTTCTGAGAATCCAGCCGATCCAGCTTCACGTGGAATTAGTGCAAGAGAATTACGAACAAATGAATTATGGTGGCACGGACCGAGCTGGCTTAGAAAAGAAAATATTTTATACCAGAAGAAAGACATTCCATCAACAGAATTAGAAATCAAGAAAAATGATATCAAAGCACTACATATTTCAGATGAAGTCTCTATATGGGAAAGATTTTCTAACTTAAATAAACTAAAAAGAGTCTTAGCATACTGCCGGAGAATGAAATTTAAGAAAGGAGAGGAGAAATCTTCTTATTTAACTACTGAAGAATTGAAAATCGTTATGAACAGATTTATATTACACTATCAGGATATATGTTTTAGAGAAGAAATTCAAGATTTGAAGCGGCACAACAAAGTGAAAAGGAGAAGTAAACTGATTACTTTAGATCCTTTTATTGATAGAGATGACATATTAAGAGTAGGAGGCAGGTTAAGTGAAGCCAGTTTCTCAAATGACTTTAAACATCCGGTTATTATACCTAACAAGACTCATCTAATGAAGTTGATAGTAAAGGATGCACATTTAAAAACAATGCATGGAGGCCCGCAGTTAATGATGTCATATATTAGAACAAGATTTTGGATTTTTGGATTAAAATCAGCAGTACGAAAATGCGTAAGAGAATGTATGATTTGTATTAGACATAAAGGTACAACATATCAGCAACTGATGGGTCAGTTGCCTGCTATGCGAGTTACACCACAAAGACCTTTCCTAAACACTGGCGTTGACTATGCTGGTCCTGTGCAGATCAAGACATCAAAGGGAAGAGGAAACAAATCTACAAAAGGATACATATGCATATTTGTGTGCATGTGCACAAAGGCAATACATTTAGAAGTTGTTTCAGATCTTACATCACAAGGATTTATAGCGGCATTTCGTCGATTTGTGGCTCGAAGAGGTTACTGTAAGAATATATGGAGTGACAATGGTACAAATTTCATCGGAGCCGCAAAAGAATTAAAAAACATGTTTACCAAGACTCTCGCAAGTGTTAGTAAGGATATAGGAGAAATATTAGCTACAGAAGGTACAGACTGGCATTTTATACCGCCAAAATCACCTAACTTTGGAGGACTTTGGGAAGCTGGAGTGAAGTCGGCTAAAAGACATTTAACAAGGGTAATTGGCTCAGCTACGTTAACTTATGAGGAGATGTCAACGTTGTTAACACAAATAGAAGCTTGTCTGAACAGTAGGCCATTATTTCAACTAGAGGATGGAGAGCAGAATTTCCTAACCCCTGGTCATTTCCTAATAGGCGAAACGCTAACAAGCGTACCAGATCACGCCGATAACAATAATTGCAACATAAATCTTCTTACGAGGTGGCAACTGTTACAAAGGATGATGTCCCAGTTTTGGAAACGTTGGCAGTTAGAGTACTTGCATACAATGCAACAAAGATACAAGTGGTACACCAGAGTCCCACCACCGACTGTTGGAGACATTGTCATCATAAAAGAAGAGGATATCCCACCAATGAAATGGCTGCTTGGGCGAATAATTCAGATACATCCAGGACCAGATCAACTAGTACGGGTCGTGACCGTGAAATGTAAAGGAGACACCATACTAAAACGACCGTTATCAAAATTAATAATTTTACCCAAAGATACATATTTTTAGATTATTCCTCACGGTGGCCGGTCTTTAATGGTTTTAAAGACAAAGGTCTTTGGTGGCCGGTATGTCCAAGGAGTTTCAACACTTTCAGTCAGGCCACAAAGAAAAGAAGAAATAATTTATTCCTTTTAAATTTGTGAAAAATTTTATTCGTTTGTCTTTTTCTGTTCATATTCAACAATACACGTTTATTTTCGAAAAGAGTGAATTTTATTTTATCTTTCTAACAGTACCTTTTTAAATATTGTTTGTCACCAAAAGACACGAGTAGCCACAACCTTTCTGTTCGGAATGAATATTAGAAATAACTATATAAGTACAACTTACTTAAAGTTCAAATAACAAAACAAGCAAGATTATTAAATGATAATACGTTCCTTGATATAATTAAAGAAAACTATAAGATACTTGTAATTATAGCGTCCCGTGTTCTAAACAATTAAAAAATAATAATATATATATCTTTTAAACAATAAGGAAGTTTATAAATCCCATAAAAATAGTATAAATTAATTTTAGATACATGGGAAAATTTCGTTAATCTATACTCTATACATATGAAAAATTGGCGTGTTAAGTCAGTTAATTTTTAAAATTGTATGTCCTCGCCCACAAGGCAGTGTTTCTCTCCGGCACGGTTGGACCAATTTTGAAGGGACTTTGGCGGAAAAGTACACGTACCATATTATAGCTTATTTGTTTTCTTTTCCGCGCTGACGAAGTCGCGGGCGATCGCTAGTAATTATAAAAATAAAAACTTTAGTGCATACAAGCAGTCGCCCTGACTTCCTTAGGGAATAATTTAATCTATATATATAAAAGAAAGTCGTGTTAGTTACACTATTTATAACTCAAGAACGGCTTTACTGATATGTCTGAAAATTGTTGAGGAGGTAGCTTAGAGCCAGGAGACGGACATAGGATTTTTATTCATTTTCGACTTTATACCTTGAAGAGCTGCTTTTCATTTAACTTATGTATATATTAAGTTTTTTTATATATCCACACGGAATGAGTCGCGGGCGACAGCTAGTATTCTGATAGAATCAACCGCGACAGTAGCGCCCCTCAGGTTCAGATATTGTTCGACTAACTTTTTTCTTACTAATATTATAAATGCGGATGCGGAATGCCAGGAGACGGATACTATTTATTCATTATTTTTCGAATATATTCCTTGAAGAGCTGCTTTTTATTTAACTAACTAATATTATAAATGCAAATGTTTAGATGGATGTGATCTGGATGGATGGATGGGTGTTTGAAGATATCTCTAGAACGACTGAACGGATCTCGATTAAATTTGGCATACGTATAAAACATAATCTGAAAGAACACACAGCCTTTTTTATATAGCCACGCTGACGGCCATACGCATATACTTTCCAGTAAAAGCCCCTTCAAAGTCGTTGCGGCCGTTTCGAAGATTACCCTAAACAAACGCTGAAAGAAAAGATATACAGACAGACAGACAGACAATCTATATTTAAAGCATTTATTTTAATTAGCGTAAGCATATTCAGAAAATATAAATTTTATTAAATGCATAAAGAAAAGAATAACTAATTAGAAAAAAAACCGTCTGACCTACATGACATTCAAGGGAAGATAAATCGGAGAACGCTTAATTATTTTAAATCGGTCTTTATCCTTATACAGCCACTTACTTCTTACTCATGTTATAAATGCGAATGTTTCGATGGATGTTTGTTTAAAGGTATCTCTAGAACGGTTACATGGAGCTCGCTGAAATATGTCATAGATGTAGAATATAGTCCGGAAGAACACATAGGCTACTTACTATGTTTGTTTTTTATTCGACGCTAGTATTTTCATAAAGGGAAGAATCAAAAATAACGTAAACGATCTTAGGGTGTTTAACGATTTCCAATTAGAGCAATCTTGGCATTTCTTTCTCTCAGGTCATCTGTAAATTTAGATGTCTGTAGGGTACTTCTTAAATAGAATGTAACGAGTCTTTTTAATTTCGGCGGTTCAGGTTCATGAATCTTATCTTACTAATATTATAAATCCGAATGTTTAGATGGATGTTTGTTTGTATGTATCTCCGGAACGGCTCAACGAATGTTGATGAAATTTGACATACATGTAGAACATAGGCTGGAACAACACATAGGCTAATTATTAAGTTTGTTTTTAATTCCGCGCGGGAGTCACTGGCGACAGCTAGTCCGGCCTAATTTAGTCCTCTTTCCCTTCCCACCCTTTTTCTTATAAGGAAAGGATGGGAAGTGGAAGTGGACTTTCCGGATGAGAGGATGCATGGAAATGTTTTCTTTCTGTGCATCCTCTCCTCCGTCGATTAAAGGTAGGCAACGCATATGCAATTGCGTATGTCTATGGGCAACGGTCACTTCGCTATTTCAGCAATTTCAGGTGGCCGCTCGCTCGTTTGCCACATTATTGTATAAAAAACAGTATAGATATAATATTTCGAATCGAAGCATGGCATCTTACTCATGTGATCTTAACATGGTCTTTCACAAGAATAATTTTTATTTTGTGCAGTACTGGAACATGAATGTGGTTTTTATTCCAGGTAGATCGCCGGATACGGCAGTACCCGAGGTCTCGCCTGAATGTCTTGATGCCCAATATATTGGTATGTTAAGATTCCTATAAAAGTTTTCATAACGAGTCCACCTTTAAACTGATATAAACACGGCTAAACACTCACGTGTATACGTCCGGTGGCGGCACCGACTAGTTTCGAGCCCATCGGGGGCCCTTCATCAGAATGAGTGGTACTGGTATTATTTCGCGGACGCGGCCCGTCGCTCACTGCGCGCCTACGCTCTTAGGTACACCTTTTTTGGTAACGGAAAAGTAATCTTCGTATTTTCCAACTCAGCCGGTGGTCAAATCAATTGCGATAGTATCCATAACCAATACACCTAACAGACAGCACGCCTGTAGATTTATAGTTTCAAGTAGAATCAATATGCACTTAAAATAGCGTGAACCATCTTTCAACCACTTAACACAATGAATTTGTTATTGCAAAATTAAAAAGTAGCCTACAATATTTCCGCGAGCATTAACCTTCCCGTTAAAGTGACGGCAAAATCGTATAACATCGGACTACAAGGCACAAAAGCAGCGAACAGATAGAAAAAAAAATGGCTTTTCGTTTATTTTTATAATATAAGGTGGCAGACGAGCGAGCGGTCACCTGAAATCGCTGAAATAGCGAAGTGACCGTTGCCCATAGACATAAGCAATTGCTTATGCGTTGCCTACCTTTAATCGACGGAAGAGAGGATGCACAGAAAGAAAATATTTTCCCTTTCGATGCATCTCATCTGGAAAGTCCACTTCAACTTCCCATCCTTTCCTTATAATAAAAAAGGGTGGGAAGGGATAGAGGACTAAATTAGGCCTCCGAGTCGGGTTACCAACAACGCATAAATTTTTCGATGACATTACAGACTCTCCAATTGTATTAATATGTATAGATAAAAAAGATACAGTTTTGCCTTGATTACAAGATATTTAAACGTATAATCCTTGCTAACCTCTTCTGTGAAGATGTCCCAATGGCATCTTCATCATCAGCTCGCTATATGTCCCCACTGAGGGGCTCGGAGTCTACCCTAAGTTATATGACTAGGTCATAGTTAACCACGATGGCCAAGTGAGAGTTGACTTCACATATATCTTTGACTTACACAGATATGTGCAGCATCACGATGTTTTCCTTCACCTTAAGAACGTCGGATAAATGTACATATGTAATACACATTGGTACATGGCGGGAATGTCATCTTACGTTATCTAAATTTAAACGTCAGGTCACCAAAATAAAAAGCGGGTTTAAAATACCTTTGGTCTTTAATATAATTGAAAACCTTTACATCTAATGTTTATTCAAATTTATCACAATTTTTCTTATCACCGAATCCCCACATGTTAGTACCGTCTCCAGTTCTATCCGATCTAGATTTGATCATGTCATCATTCACAGATTTCAAATCATAAGCCCATCCGATCTTTGCAAAGAAATCAATAAAAATTGTCGTCAAATTTAAATAATTATTTCCTAATTCAGCTGTCCTGTAATCCCATGGGAATACGTGGTGATAGTTATGGAAACCTTCACCGAATGCGACGAAAGATACCGGTAGACTTTGAACAGGTTTGATCGTTCTATCGTAAGGCTTGTTTCCCCATATGTGTGCGGCGCTATTCACAAGGAATGCGATATGCAAGTTAAGAACATATCGTAATACGGCAATACACCAGGCAGTCTTCAAACTCTCGCCGAAGAAGTACATTGGAATGATTGTGGGTAGAACAAAACAAATTGTTCCAATGAAAGGTATAGCGTATCTGAAATTTAAAGAACTTGGTTAATATCGTGTTATTTCTAGTACAGATACTTTGATGTTGAGTAAAGACACTTTTTGTTCAGCAACTCCTGTAGCTTATATGGCTTGATTAGTTGTGACGTTTACGGTGTTGTTGAATTTGGTTTTTTCTTAAAATTAATGTTTGCTTTTCGAAGTTGCCTATACAATGTTGCTATTCACTCTGGTATATGTATAAAAATTATGTTCGTTAGTCGCGCTAAAACTCGAAATAGGCTGAACGAATTTATCTTATCTTGGTCTTGAAATGTTCGTGGAGGTCTAGGGAAGGTTTAAATGGTGAGGAAAATTCGATTAATAGCCGGAAAAACCCTAAAAACAGCCCTTTTTTCTAAAACTAAAACTTGGCATAGATGTAGAACGTAGTCTGGAAGAAAACATAGACTAATAATTTTCATTATGCGCGGACGGGGTCGCGGTCGACAGCTAGTAATTTCTATAATTTTCCTTATTACCAATATATTCATATCCTAATAAACTTACTTTCTCTGGAAGCAAAGCACTGGGTTAGCATAAATATCGCTCATGTCAATAAATTTGCCGCGTCTCTTGACTTCCTCGTGCTTCCTTACTAGCAGCCAACCTATATGAGAGTAGAAGAAGCCTCGTGTCGCATTGTGAGGATCCGCGTCTGTGTCACTGTATCTAAGGAAATGATAAAAATAGGTCAATTTTTTTTTATATCAAAAGATGGCAAACGAGCGAACGGCCACCTGAAATCGCTGAAATAGCGAAGTGACCGTTGTCCATAGATATACGCAATTGCATATGCGTTGCCTACTTTTAATCGACGGAGGAGAGGATGCACAGAAAGAAAATATTTTCCCTTTCCATGCATCCTCTCATCCGGTAAGTCCACTTCCACTTCCCATCCTTTCCTTATAAGAAAAAGGTGGAAAGAGAAAGAGGACTAAATTAGGCCTCCGGGACGCACACTCATCAGACTGTACACGGAAGTGCAGTTGTCAGCCACAGTTTGATAGGTTAATATATAACCAAGAATTTTCACTTCAGCACAACGAAATACTGTACAAGGCGATTTTACAGTAATTTCTTTTAGATATTATCAATCCTTTGGCGCGAATGGCGCGCTTTCATTACCAAGTCATGTGTCAGAATGATTAGTGAGGGGACATAAACGTCGACATTTTAAGGCTAGTGTTGCGCCACACCGCCAGTATCGTATTTTCTTAGAGATATTTAACTCGGTTAGTAAATATTGTTTACGAGATGGAAAGTAGCATTGTAGTATTGAAAGAAATGAGTGAGTGCCAAGTTTCAGAAGATGTTATGAACAGAGCGAAGTGGAAAAGACAGATTGGGAAACCCGACCACCATGTAGGATGCAAGCTAGGCAGATAGAGAGAGAAAAAGTAAATATAGTTTACCTGTGATGCAATCTATGGTCTCTGACCCAGTCGATGGCAGTATTCTGAAAGGCCAGTGAGTTGAGGACGACTAATATGATCTGTAAGGGCAGCTTGGCTTTGTACGCCCTGTGCGTCCAGAGACGGTGCGCGCCTGCTGTTATACCGATCGCTGCTAATGCGAAGAGGATATAACCTGGAACGATATTTAGATCAGATTGATGAAATTTCCTAGAAAATCCATTTCAAAATGTTCCTAGTTTTGATGAATCCCATAATTTCATCTTTAACTTTTGAACCCTCAATAGCCCAATACAGTACCATTTGGTTCTTCCATAAACCCAGTCCACCTGGACTACTTTGGGAGTCCCTAAATCAGATCATGGTGGCAAAAACAGTGTATCCTAATCAGTCAGACACTAGCTGTCACACGCGACTCCGTCCGCGCAGAATTAAAAAAAATCTTAATAAGTAGCCTAACTGTTCTTCCAGACTATGTTCTACACTGTGCCAAATTTCATCAAGATCCAACAAACATCCATCCATCTAAACACTCGCATTTATAATATTATATTAAGTAAGATTTTTTTAGGATAAAAGGTGGCAAACAAGCAAACATCCATCGGTCTTCTATACTTTCCTTATTGAAAAATAATAGGTGTGAGAAGAAACTAGAATTAAACCTTCGGAAAACACTCTTCAGATAAAACGCTGGAATACTTCCTATTCATTCTATCTTTTTTTTTTATTTCATAAAGTGGCAAACGAGCGAGCGGCCACCTGTAATCGCTGAAATAGCGAAGTGACCGTTGCCCATAGACATACGCAATTGCATATGCATTACCTACCTTCAATCCACGGAGGAGAGGATGCACGGAAATAAAATATTTTCCCTTCCCATGCATCCTCTCATCCGGAAAGTCCACTTCCATTTCCCATCTTTTCCTTATAAGAAAGAGGATATGAAGCGAAAGAGCACTAAATTAGTCCTCCGGGACGCTTCTGTCTAATCGTATTACACTGGTGTAGGGTTTGTGCAATATGTACTATTAAAACTTAATCAACTCACTGAATATAATCGTCGACCAAGTCGCTTCAGTGCAAGCTAAGTATAACCCATACAGAGCTGTGAGATGCGCGTAACCAAATGTTAAAATATTCCTATACACGATCTGGTACTTTCTCGGAGCTGCTTGTGGTGCGACCAGCTTCTCGAACTCTGGTTCGCGTTCTATCACTTCCACGGATGATACATCAGGTGCCATGGTATCTGAAAATGTAATTAGTGTATTGAAAAATGAAGCTTCTACTAAGGTACAGTCACGGAAATCCGCGGTGTTTCGCTTTCAGAAAAATTACCTTATTTCTTCCAACTAAAAAGAATTTGCATCTTATTAGAAATAACTAAGTAGCTGTGAATTGCGCAAACGATAGGATAATAGTGAAAACCTACTAGTGTACCACTGACCGACCTTTTTGTACATTTTTTATTGTTTGCGCGTCGTCCAATGTGTTCACTTCTTTGGTGCTTTAGACATTCATCATCAGCTCACTATACGTCCCCACCGAGGGGCTCAGAACCTACCCTAAGTTAAGGGTGATTAGGCCATAGTCAACAGACAGTAGCTTTAGACATTATTAGTTAGAATCCTTTGGCGTGAATGGTTAGTGAGGTTAATGGTCAGAATGATTAGTGAGGGGACATAAACGTTATTATTTTAGTAAGGCTAGTGTTGCGCCAATACACCACATTTATCCTATGTTCTTACGGTGAAGGAAAACATCGTGATGCTGCACATATCTGAGAAGATATTCAAAGATATGTGTGAAGTCAACCCGCACTTGATCAGCGAAGTTAACTATGACCTAGTCACATAACTTAGGGTAGGTCGTGATGCTGCATGTGGTGCCCCACGAATGGCGTTAATTTCGCCTAGGAAGGTTACTTTCATTACGCTAATTGCGAACTACATTACTCAGAACTTCGGCCGAACGCGAAGACTTCTCGAACAAACCGGTGAGATTTCAAGAGAAACCGACTACCAAAGAGCATGGAACTGAACGCACGTGCCGCACGCAGTGAGGATATATAATGAGCTGATGATGTATATTCAATCTCATAATTTTTTTTTACACAATAATAAACAAGCCGATTAGTTTTTACATACGATTTAAATGTTGATATGAATGTATACTCATTACCTGATTTTCTGCTTTAATTTATTATGCAACGATCAAACGGATGACGTACGACATGATTGAACGCAGTATTATAATTGAGGTTAAAGGGCAATTACATCGAACTTGAATTGTAAAATTAACAGCTATGTTTTATTGATGATTTTAACATTTAATTATCTATAGTGAATTTATTTAATTGCTTACGAGACAATTGCAAGTAAAATGCAAGGAATTATACTGAAAATGTAGCGGTCACCCGCAACTTCGTCAGGGCAGAAAATAGCCTATAATTAGTAGCTACCGCCCTAGGCGCTGGACCTAAGTTCCGGCTCAGTCGCTTAAGTAGAATATTAAGGGGCGCCTGCGCTTAATACGATAGCCTATCTTTCGAAGATTTCCCCCCGACATCTAAAAAGAGGGCGGTGCAAAAATCTCGCCCATACCGAAGGAAATAAAACCGACACTGCTTTTAATATGGCTGCGTACATTAGATACCTTCATGTCAAAATCGGTACCGCCGTACCGGAGATTTCTTGGAACACGTCCTTACGGACAGACATACAAAATATTTAAAAATTGGTTTTTCTTTATCTATAGTATGCATGGACTAGCTATTTTCTGCCGCTTCGTCCGCGTTGAAATAAAAAACAAATTAAATAGGTGGCTATTGTTAGGAAGAAAATCCGACACTGAGGGTCTAACCTACCCTAAGTGATGTGACTAAGTGTTAGTGAATGCTGGTCCAGTGCGTTACTTCACACATATCTTTGATATTCACAAATATGTGCAGCATCACCATGTTTTATTTTTATTTTAGTTGACGTGTTATTGAAAACGTAAACACTGTCTTATTTTTTGTGGTAAATATTTAAATTACTTCTATTGTTAGTTATTGTTTAGCGAGGGTTGATTAATCTTGAATCAGCATCAACACTTAGTTCATGGCTCCCACGAATGTTTTTTTTTATATTTAAATACAATTATATATTATCTATCATCAAGTACAATAAAGAGGTAAGTTAATGCAAATAAATTAAATATAATTGCACCGTTCCAAGAAATTTTCCATAGAAATTTTTTCGATTTAAAAGAAAAAAGTCTTTTTTTCTTCCGTGTTCTTTTTTTCTTCTAACCTCAGTTCTGCGATCGAACTTGCACGAATGAAATTGCTCCATTTAATATATTATGTACACTAGCTCTCGCGAAGCCGTCCAGTCTATGTGTTCTTTCATACTATGTTCTATAGCTATGCCAAATTTCATGGAGATCCGTTGAACCGTTCCGGAGATACCTTCAAACAAACATCCATCCAAACATTCGCATCTATATATATAAAAGAAAGTCGTGTTAGTTACACTATTTATAACTCAAGAACGGCTTTACCGATATGTCTGAAAATTGTTGAGGAGGTAGCTTAGAGCCAGGAGACGGACATAGGATACTATTTATTCATTTTACATTTTTTCGAATTTATGCCTCGAAGAGCTGCTTTTTATTTAACTTATCTATATATTAAGTTTTTTATATATCCACGCGGACGGAGTCGCGGGCGACAGCTAGTTTATAATATTAGTAAGATTTTGGGAATTCTAGAACAAATAGCAATACGTCTCGGCTCTTTAAAATTGACAACGTTCGCTCTATATGTTTAATATCTTTGTAAGAGGAAATAACAAGAACGCAGTGTCTCAGAGAAAACACGTGACTCTGTTTAATTTAAATGTTTTTCTTTTTTTTATATCCGATTTTTAAGGTTATATGTATGATGTAAATTTTGTCACGGCTTCACACGTTTTTGTATATTATTGCCACTTAAAATGTTATTAAAATAATTTGTCAAAAATAGCGGTCTTGACAGACGGACAGACAACAAAGTGATACTATAAGGGTACCGTTTTCTTCGTTAAATCAAAATATTTAAAACATAAAGCTTTAATAGCCTAATGGTTAAGGGTACTTCCGATCACGAGGTCGGGAGTTCGAATCCCGTCATTCGACTATTGTCGTAAACCTAAAACGTATTATTTTTTTTAATTTATTACAGATATTTTGCGATGACTCTAGCTATTAATAAAAAAACACGAAAAAATAGTTCTTTTTCTTTCTCAAAATCTCAATTTTTGAATAATAAAGTTGACATAAAGAGAAACAATGCCGTTTTTTATCGTAAATCAAAAACAAAATCAACAAAATTTTCGATTGAAAGTTATATGAGAACAAGCATCGGAAATCGAAAATCTTTATAACAGATTTTAATCAACCCATATCTAGTTAATTTTCAAACTAATCTATCTTAAATAGACACATTATTATGCATGTATTTGCTTGCTGCACTTCACCACAATAACAGTGTAAAATTTCACGATCATTCCTTTCCGGAATTCCTTTAAAAAAAGAGTACAAATTTAATGCTTCACGTTTTAACGTAATCAAATTCCGTATAAATTACCTTTATTGAAAGTACTAGATGCGACTTTGTACTCCCGGAAATAAAAAAAAACTTAATTAGTTGCCTATGCATTCTTTGAGCGTCAGTGGGTCAGGGGTTAAGCACTTTACTTGCAAGCAGGTCCTGGGTATGAATCCCGTCATGTACCAATGTGTTTTTCAATTGTTTTTCACACATTCTTACGGTGAAGAAAAACATGGTGATGCTGCACATATCTGAGTAGAAATGTCAAAGATATATGACCTATGACCTAGTCACCCCTAGCTTAGGGTGGGCTCTGAGCCTATCAATGGGGACGTATATTGAGCAGATGATGTATACTTTCAGACTATGCTCTACATTAATGCCAAATTTCAGCGAGATCCATGCAGTCGTTCTTTAGATACCTTCTAACAAACATACATCTAAACATTTGTTATAGTTCATAGTTGTTCGTAATTCGCGTACACTCTGACACTATGACGATCTATTAAGTACAACATTAATCCTCATACAAAATTAATTCTATTATTTATAGGCGTCACTTGTCAAACTAATCTATCTTAAATAGACAGTATAGTAATATTAAAGAGAAAATAAGAAATTCCTTTTTTAAATCTTATCTTATATCTTTAAATGAGCAATTCTTGTATTTATATATGTATATCTCGGAATCGGCTCCAACGATTTTCATAAAATTTAGTATATAGGGGATTTCGGGGGCGATAAATCGATCTAGCTAGGAATCATTTTTAGAAAATGTCATTTTATTCGCGTTTTATAGATAATCAACTTAAACATAAACTTAACTTTTTCTATCGGTAAGATCGAAAAATATTATTCATATTTCATCATTTTATTAGTAATTCGTACTTAAATATAATTTCCAAAAAACCCGAATAAAAAAGAAAAAAATACCGAGCAAAGCTCGATCATCCAGGTACTTCCATTAAGAATAAACAAAAACTCACCTCACTTTTGATTTTATGACATTCACTAATTATTAACAAAAAAATTATTCCAATTTCAAATAAGTCCTTTCAGTGCGACCGTCCGATTTAGTTTGGGGACGATGGTTTGTATTCGAGGCATTTACAATTCGTGCGCGCATGAAAATTAAAGCGTAGGTTTTCATTGACTATTTAGATATAAATCGGTGACATAGGCAATGAAAAAACTGTGTATATACCGACAGACTTATCTGACCAGGTCAAGTTAAACTAAATTACTTTAAAGGATGTCCTGTAATTTATTGATTTAGGCTTAAAAAATATGAAACTTAACACGTTAGCTGCCATGTCCGACAAGCTAATGTTTCAATCAGGCTGTGTCGGACTATATGTCCGACAAGCCATGCTTCCATTCATTTGTAAATAATAAGTATATGAGCAATGTAAGTAAGGTATTACTATATTTTTAGGTGTTTTCAAATGGTATTGGACAAAATTAAAAAAAAAATCGTTTTTCGAAAAATCATTCTGGCAGTTAACGTGTTAAAAAAAAACTCTTTTTGTTACTTTACCGTACATTTATTTCCACGGTATTAAATTAATGAAATTTCATTCGCGTGATTTCGTGTTTTAATGAGGATATCAGGAATATCCATTCGTTATTGGGACATGCGGTTATCATGCTTAGTTCTGCCTGAAAATATGTAAAACCTGCTTGGTGGTTAGCCATAGCAGAAAAAACCAAACATGATATGACAGAAAGGGTATTTGTGTCACATTTTTGACCATGACACAAGCTAGTGAGCCATCATAATTTACTTTGATTTATGTTGATGGCTCAGGGGTCAAGCACTTGCAATCTGCAGGTCCTGGGTTCGAATCCCGCCATGTACCAATGTGTTTTTCCATTTCCCATTTACATATGTACATTTATCCGACGTTCTTACGGTGAAGGAAAACATCGTGATGCACATATCTAAGAAGAAATTCAAAGATATGTGTGAAGACAAACCGCACTTGGCCAACATGGTTTGACTATGGCCTAGTCATCGTTGATTTAGGGTAGGCTCCGAGCCCCTCGGTGGGGACGTATAGTGAGCTGATGATGATGTCCACCGATTTTTTTTCATTGCTAAATCACTTATTCTAGTATATTCTAGAACTAGCTGGCGCCCGCGACTCCGTGCGCGGTATAAAAAAAATATATTTAGTAGCCTATGTGTTCTTCCAGTTTATGTTTATGTATGCAAAATTTCATCGTGTTCTGTTGTGCCATTCTGTAGATACCTTCAAACAAACATCCATCTAAACATTCGCATTTATAATATTAGTAAAATAAGTAAGACAATTTATATTAAAAATGTGTGAAAACAACAATAGAAGACGCTGTTTAATCCATTAAATGCGTCATTGGTTTCTTTTATTATTTAATTGGTTTTATTTAAATCTTTACACAATGAAAGCAAACGCTTACAATCAAGTATAAAAGCGTCGATTTCCTTTGTCACGTAATGATTGTAAAGTCAGTTGATAATCTCACTGGAGAAATTAAAAGCTAAAGTTTTTTTGTGTTGTAAATTCAAATTAGTAAAACGTCAATTATCTCTTACTGTGAGTTTCCACTGCCTAAATACTTGTATACAGACATATTACACAGGTGTTATGTAGCTGTTGGAATTGAAAAGAAATTAGTGGTCTATCTGTTCCTCCAGACTATGTTCTACATCTATGTCAAATGTTATGACAATTTAAATTTTGATATTATGTCAATAGATGGCGGATGGTATTGCTAGATTGTGATATTAATTTATTTATTTTATGTATCGACCGTCGCGTAGAGCGTCGGTGGCTCAGGAGTCAAGCACTTGACTTGCAATGTGCAGGTCTTGGGTTCGAATCCCGCCATGTACCAATATGTTTTTCGATTTCCGATTTGCATATGTACATTTATCCGACGTTCTTACGGTGAAGGAAAACTTCGTGATGCTGCACATATCTGAGAAGAAATTTAAAGATATGTGTGAAGTCAACCAACCCGCACTGGGCCAGCGTGGTTGACTATGGCCTAATCATCCTTAACTTAGGGTAGGCTCCGAGCCCCTCGGTGGGGACGTGTATCGAACTGCCGATTGGATTTCATTATAATTGACTCGCACCAAGATATAACCAGTGTTTTATTGTGATTACTCTATTCAACTCCAGTGAGAAGGAGACTTTTTGAGACTGCTTTACAATCTATGACAAATTTCATCAAGAACTATGCAGTCCTTAGGGGTTAGACAAAATACATACGCTTCAAAATAATTTTATAGCGAACTATAAAATTATATAGAACTGACAATAACTTTCGATAAGTCACGTGATTGTCGTGAATCGGTACCATAAATAAAATTGAGATATCTTCTAACATACATCTAAACATTAGCATTTATAATATTACTACCTATCGGCCGAGAACTTAGTAAGTAGCCTATGTGTTCTTCCAGACTATGTTCTACATCTATGACAAATTTCATCGAGATCTATGCAGCCGTTCTGGAGATATCTTTTAACAAACATCCATCTAATTACGCATTTATAATATTAGTACCTATCGGCCGAGAACTTAGTAAGTAGCCTATGTGTTCTTCCAGACTATGTTCTACATCTATGACAAATTTCATCAAGATCTATGCAGCCGTTCTGGAGATATCTTATAACAAAGATCCATGTAAACATTCGCATTTATAATATTACTAGCTATCGGCCGAGAACTTAGTAAGAAGCCTATGTGTTCTTCCAGACTATGTTCTACATCTATGATAAATTTTATCGAGATCTACGCAGCTGTTCTGGAGATACCTTCTAACAAACATGCATCTAAACATTCGCATTTATAATATTACTACCTATCGGCCGAGAACTTAGTAAGTTGCCTATGTGTTCTTCCAGACTATGTTCTACATCTATGATAAATTTTATCGAGATCTACGCAGCTGTTCTGGAGATACCTTCTAACAAACATGCATCTAAACATTCGCATTTATAATATTACTACCTATCGGCCGAGAACTTAGTAAGTAGCCTATGTGTTCTTCCAGACTATGTTCTACATCTATGATAAATTTCATCGAGATCTACGCAGCTGTTCTGGAGATACCTTCTAACAAACATCCATCTAATTACGCATTTTAATATTAGTAAGAAGTATGATTAAGTAACATGTTTAAAAACAATTCTTATATCAATGGAAATTTACTGTTTTACTGTTAAGATATGACATTCATTTGCATTTTTTTTTTTCAACAAAATTGCGACATTGACTGTAAATGATTCAATTTCGACATTTTTATATTCAAAGGATATCCTGCAAAAAAAAACTATAACACTACAAATGTACGTAGATAAAGGAGAAATGAAAAACATAGATTAAGAATTCTTGATTTTTTTTTAAATATATTCGTAATGTATACGTCCAGGTTCAATCCCAAGCATCCAGGGTATACAGGGTGTCCCAAAAGGTTACGTACATAGAAAGGGGGATGATAGGGGATGGTCACAAGGGTCACCAGAAAAATAAAATAAAAATTCCCCTCTGGGTATTAAAAAAATAAATGGCATGTTTTTAAAAACTTAAAATTATTACAGCTTCTGAGGCAATTTTGTAACCGATGACCTACAAATATTGCTATATTAAAAAAAAGCTATTATGTTATCATCAATAACCCTTTATCAATATGAAATTAAAAACAATACAACTAACAAAGATTTTAAAGAAAATTAAAATTGCCCCAGAAGGTGTAAAATTTTCTGAGTTTTTAAAAACATGCCATTTATTTTTTGTTATACCCAGAGGGGAATTTTTATTTTATTTTCTCTGTAGATGGATGTTTTTTTGAATGTATCTCCAAAACGGCTGAATGGATCTCGAGGAAATTTTGCATGCTTATATAACTGAGTTTGGAAGAACACATAGGTTACTAATTATGTTTTTTTTATTGCGCGTGATCGGAGTCGCGTGCGACAGCTAGTGGTTAATATAGTAATGTAGTTTGTCTGTAAATGAGATTGGACGTGGATGGATAAATTTATGAAGAAAGTATGGATGGATTGTTTGTAAAGATATTCGTAAGACTACAATGGATTTATGTATTATATGAAATGTATGTATTATATAAATTAACTTATAAAGAAATGTGTCACCTACGTAAATCATAATCTACGTCATAAAGTTATAAAAATTGCAATTTTATTGTTATATCGTGAGATATAAAATTTAACAATTATTGCGACATACATTTTTAATAACTAGCTTATGCACGCGACTTCATCTTTTGAAGGATGAATTAAAACAACATCCAATATGTTCTTTTGTATAGGCCGTTTCAATGTTTTTGCTGGCTCAAGGTCATACGCGCTGCGCAGTGTCCTCCCCCCGCATCACTATGTTGCGCAGCTATTGTACGATGTTATTATTCTTTTCAAATATCTTGTTGGCTCGGAACATCGCACTAATCGCTGCGCAGTACACAATGTAAATGGATACGGAAGGAGGGCATTGCTCTGCGCAGATGACCGTGAGCCAAAAAGTTTAGACCGCTGAATAAAAGCGAAGCAAGGGTTAAATTTGATATGTCTTTTTTATATCTTACTTCTTATTATGTTATTAATATTATAAATGCGAATGTTTAGATGGATGGATCACGATGAAATTTGGCATAAATGTAGAACATAGTCTGGATGGACAAAGGCTACTTATTAAGTTTTTTTTGGCGCGGACGAAGTCGCGGGCGACAGTTAGTATTTATATATATATATATATATATATATATAGCCCTTGACAACGATCCCACCTGATGTTTCTTCCACGTCCTCTAATGAAACTTAATATCTGTAAAACTTTAAAATTTTTCATTCCCAGCAGTTTAAACTATGTTTTGACAATCAATTTGTTCTTTTATATAGACAAAAATATTAGGAATTAAATAAAAATAACGTTAAAAACCTATAAAGCTATAACAGCAGTCGTAACCAGACATCGTGCGAGTCCCCAGTGGGCCGATACGCATAGAGTTCAATGCTTTGTGTTACAACACTTTGTTCTGATTCAAAAATTTGTCCTATATAATATCTAGATATGTAGCAACCCTACTCTTTGATACATACTCTTTGATTTTTTTAATCTATGTTTTAAGAGTATAAAGTAAGCAAATTGTTAATGGACTTTTAAAGAGATGAAAAAAATAACAGATAAACTACATATTACGCTTAAACTCGTCAATTCCAAAATATTTGTAGTAAAACACATCCCTCGTGTAACCATCTCAAAGGCCGGCAACGCATCTAACGCATAGAACGAATAGACTATGTTTTATTAAATACGCGCGGACGGAATCGCGAGCGATAATTAGTCATTAATAAAAAAAAAACATAATTAGTAGCCTCTTCCAGACTATGTTTTACATCTATGACAAATTTCACAAATATGCAGCTGTACTGGAAGATACCTTTTAACATACATCCAAGCATTTATAATATTAGTAAGATTTATGTATGTAGCGAGCTTATCACCATCTCAAAGACCGACAACGCATCTGCTGTTCCTCTAGTATTGTAGATGTCCATGTGCGTCGTTGAACACATCGGTGTTCCCGCTGCTCGTTTTCCCCCTTTTGCTATAAAAAATCTAGAGGTAGTCCGTACGGAATTAAAAAAAATAGTAGTCTATAATGAGGTAAAGATTTATAACGAGAGTAAAACCTGAAGCAATAACAATAGGAAGACAAAAGACGTATTCTTAATTCGAATATATTTCTTTTAAAATATTCCTGACACTGACAGTTGTCAATGTCACTATTTAACCTCTTTTATTGTTTGTTTACGTTACCGTTTCGATGAGCAAATGTAATCTACATTTATAATTTACATATGACGCCACTGAGCTATTAATTAGTTGAAGTTAGAATGTTGAGGTCTTAAGTGTCAATCGTTTTTTTTTAATTAGCAGTGTTTTTTTCCAGATGCATTCGCGAAAGCAGCAGCATTACGTCTATTGGAGGCAGCTCGTACTGGTGACGTGGAGACAGCTCGCGCCCTACTGGACTCCAGACCTCGGCTCGTCAATTGCAGAGATGTGGATGGAAGGCATTCAACACCGCTGCACTTCGCTGCAGGGTATTTATACATAGATTATTATAAGGTGTCAAAAGAGCAAGCTCCCACTTGAATTCGCTGAAATAGCGAAAAGATCGCTGCCCATAGAAATCCGCAATCGCCGATGCGTTGCTTACTTTTAATCGATGGATAAGGAGACGCACTGAAATCCACTAAATCCATGTCCCCTTTCCATCTTTTCCTTATAAGAATAGGATTAGAAAACATACTTCCATAGTAGGTCTATTATAATTAATTTCCAAATATGTTGGTGGCTCGAAGTCATGCTGCGCAGTGTCTTCCCCCCGCATCCCGCTACGCCGCAATACACCTAACATTATGTTCTGCGCAGCGACTCGCGTGAACTTGAGAGCCGCTGACACATCTGATAACAACTATACAAAGATGTTGTATGTAAAAATAATATGAGTGTTTAAATTTTCAGATACAACCGTCTCCCTCTCGCGCAGCTGTTGCTGCAGAGAGGGGCTGATGTTCACGCTAAGGATAAAGGGTATGCTATGTTTTGTACTTAATTCTCTACGTGTGTTTTTTTTTCAATATAAAAGTCATAGGCAATGGATTTTGTTTATAAAATTATAAAAGCAGTTATAAAAGTTTTGATAGCTTTGATTATTGATTCGATTAAGTTGCGAGAATGAATCGATCGATCGTGTGAAACTATGAAAAATGTATGAAACTGACGCGCGACAATCACGTGTCTTATAGAAGTTATTGCCAGTTCTATACATTTTTGAAGTTCGTTATGGAATCACTTCAAATGGACTTTGTCTAACCCCGTAGCTATGAATCGATTCAAAATTTCACATTAACTTGAACCGTTGAGCTACGACTCAACATCGATGTACTATAACTATGAGACTAACAGTTGTCAGCTTGAAACATAAATCATCATACATACAAATTAAACTGAACCGATTCACTGATCTGCACGGTCTTTTTAGTTAATGCAATATTTGTCAGGGGTCTGGTACCACTACACAACGCGTGTTCATACGGTCACTATGAGGTGACGGAACTCCTGGTGTCAGCGGGAGCTGGAGTCAATGCTGCGGATCTCTGGAGGTTCACGCCGTTGCACGAAGCTGCTGCTAAAGGGAAATCGGATATAGTCAGATTGTTACTTAAGGTAAGTATCATCAGCTAACTATAGGTCCCCACTGAGGGTCTAACTTACCCCAAGTGATGTGACTAAGTGATAGTGAATGCTGGTCCAGTGCATCACTTCACACATATCTTTGACATTCACAGATATGTGCAGCATCACGAAGTTTTCCTTCACACTAACAATATAAGATAATATTTAGCAGATAGCAAATATTTCATCAATGTTTATATGTCTAGGGTATTAGGTAAAAACTTGTAATTTTCTCTTTTTATTTGCCTATTATATATTGGATTTATATGCTCTTTCAGAATATGTTCTACAAATATGACAAATTTAAGCAAGATCCGTTCAGTCTTTCTGGAGATTCCTTCAAACAAACATCCAAACATTCGCATTTATAATATTAGTATGATTATTTTTTCTGTACCCTTAACGAGTGTATTATAGAGGGATTCAGGATTATTAATTACGGGGCACCCTGTAGAATATAATCTAGGTTTAGATAAGAGGATGATGTTTGTTTGGTATCAGCACGGCGCGGATCCGACGCGTCGTAACCGCGACGGTCTTACGCCGCTGCAGCTGGTGCGTGCGGGGGACTGCGACACTGCGGATGCGCTGCGCGGTGATGCCGCGTTGCTTGACGCTGCTAAACGCGGGGATCTCGCTAGAGCCAAGTTAGTTGCCCGATGGGTTTGCTGTTGGACCATTCGGCCATTTCGATTTGTTTTTGATTCTTTACTTTTGTATTCTACTGATTATGTTCAATCGGCCCAACAAAAATCGGGTTGATTGATTTACCAATCAAACCTACCGGTCGATCGGTCCAACGGCAAACATCTCTCTAGTCCTGTATTATAAATTGGAAATAAGAAAAACATCGTCATTTTCCATCCATTATATTACGCCAGAGACTTGTTAGATATCTTAGTCTATCCAAGATAGTTCAAGCTATTTTTTTTTAGTTTAATTACGTTAAGTGCTAAATATTACAAAATCCTTTGTATCTTGTCATATCATGTATAAATTGATATAAAAACGACTAAAACACTCACGTATGGTCTGGTAGCGGCATCGTCTAGTTTCGAGCTGATCGGGAACCCTTCATCAGTCAGTGGGACTGGTATTATTTCGCGGACAAGGCCCTCAGCTCATTGAGTGAGTGTTTTAGCTGTTTTTATTATAATGTCTCACGAAAGTTTGAATAAGTCATATCATGTATGTTATTTTCTTCATCGAGGTATATTTACTGTCGGTTTCTGAGAGCAAAATCTTTATATATATAATTCTTCTGTGCGTGTGTATGTCACTGAACTTCTCTCAAACGACTGGAGCGATTTTGATGAAATTTTTTGTGTATGTTCAAGGGGATCTGGGAATGGTTTAGATTCACAATTTTGTCCGCTGGACAATGTTTTTTTAATAAATTTTTAATTTATTAGTAGTTGTTGATTTTGGAATGTTTTACATTGGATCCGACAGACGGCGCTACCATCATTAATTCAAATTAAAGACGTGTAGACAGGACAACGTCTGTCGGGTCCGCTTGTATCTGTATAAAACATGTCATCCCTGTCAACAAAATAAAGATAACAAGTTTTGCATAGATTTTATATAGAATAAGTAAATTTATTAGATTTTACTCTTCTACCTACTTATGTAAAGTACTCCATCTTTAAGTACGGTTAGCTGGTAGATAACTCATTGAGTTAAACTCGCCATTTTATAACTTTTCGCGAATGGTACGCTTTCGTTACAAAGTCAAGTGTCAGATGTAGTGAGGGGGACATGAACGTTGATATTTTAGTAAGGCTAGTGTTGCGATACACCGACACTGTCGGATTTATTTCCTAACAAAACTGTGTGTACGATAAAAAAGATTTTGGTCTCGGAAACCCACGTTTAAGAAATTATAACATCTCTACCGGGTCAGATAAGTTTGTAGCAATATAGTAGTAAAATTTCTTACAGGAAACTGATAACAGCACAGAATGTCAACTGTAGAGATGCACACGGCAGGAATTCAACGCCTCTACATCTTGCTGGTAAATTATTGTTTAAAAAAAAATCACTAATCAAATTTGTCTATGCACTAAGCAGAGTGTAATCTTTTTTTTTATGTCATAAAAGGTGGCAAACGAGCGAGCGGCCGCCTGAAATCGCTGAAATAGCGAAGTGACCGTTGCCCATAGACATACGCAATTACATATGCGTTGCCTACATTTAATCGATGGAAGAGAGGATGCACAGAAAGAAAATATTTTCCCTTTCCATGCATCCTCTCATCCGGAAAGTCCACTTCCACTTCTTATCCTTTCCTTATGAGAAAAAGGGTGGGAAGGGAAAGAGGAGTAAATAAGTCCTCCGGGACGCACACTCATCAGACTGCACGTCTTCTGTGTGGTCGTGGTATTTCACTGAGCGAGCCGGGACAATTCGTGCGGAGATGTTAAAGCTCGCTCGAACACTGTTGAATCTATATCTGTTTTGAATTTCATCCATATCGTTTCAGCCGTTCTGGAATTACATGGTAGTAAATGTTTGGATGTATGGATGGATGTTTGTAACAAGATATATCCAGATCACTTGTATGAATTACTTTTTACCTTTTGCGAGACTATCTTACATATATAAAAATCGATTGGTGTTCGTTAGTCTCGCTAAAACTCGGGAACTGCTGAACGAATTTATTATCTTGAAATGTTCGTGGAGATCAAGGGAAGGTTTATAAGCTGAGAAAAATTTCCAATAATTCCCAGGTAAACTCTAAAACAGCCCTTTTCTTTTTTCCATATAAACGGCTGAATATATTCATAGAAGAACAAATAGGATAATATGTTTCATTAAATACGCGCGGACGGAGTCGCGAGCGATAGCTAGTCATTAATAAAAAAAACATAATTAGTCGCCTCTTCTAGACTATGTTTTACATCTATGACAAATGTCGCAAAGTTCTATGCAGCTGTACTGGAAGATACCTTCTAACATACATCCAAGCATTTATAATATTAGTAAGATTTATGTAAGTAGCGAGCTTATCACCATCTCAAAGACCGGCAACGCATCTGCTGTTCCTCTGGTATCGCTGATGTCCCTGTGCGTCGTTGAACACATCGGTGTTCCCGCTGCTCGTTTGTCCCCTTCTGTTATAAAAAAAATATATATTTCCAGCGGGATACAACAATTTGGAGGTCGCAGAAGCATTACTAGAAGCTGGAGCGGCTGTCTCGGCACGTGATAAGGGCGGACTTGTACCCTTACATAATGCAGCTTCGTACGGACATCTTGAATTAGCAGCGTTACTGTTGCGCGCCGGCACTCCGCCGAATGCAGCAGATAGGTGGGGCTTCACACCTTTACATGAAGCTGCGCATAAAGCACGCACACAATTGTGTGCGTTATTGGTGAGTTACACACACATATATACAAGCCACGCCTACATAACCACATGCCACGCCCACATAACCACAGGCCAAACTCATAGTCACAGGTAACGCCATATAACCATAAGCCACACCCTCATAACTACAGGCAACGTCAACATACACTCAGACCCCGCCCATATACACATAGGGCACGTCTATGTGCTCAAAGACGACACCCACGCTCACAATTCTACATCATTTTAGATTTAGCAAGGATGATTTTAGCTCATTTAACAAAATTGTTCAACGAAATTTTACTTATTGTAACATTTTTTTAAAAATTTAAACGATTTACTATAGGATTAAACTTAATTTGTGACAAGTGTAAGGCAAATATATTGTTTTCGTAATTATTTGTGTAACTAATTCAATTAGTAACCATATTTGTATTTAAAAGAGAACATGTTCGAACGTGGATAGTCCAAGGGATAACGATATATTTCTCGCTTATAATAGTTTCTCTTAAACCCGAGAATCTCGCATATGGCGGTCGCTTGTCGATTTCATCAGTATTACTTTGCAAAGAGCAAACAACACGTGACAATGATCATTCCTCTCTTTCACTCTTGTATCCTAGCTAAATATGCTGTCTCTTTCAGCTGGCTCACGGCGCAGACCCGTTCCTCAAGAACCAAGAAGGTCAGACAGCACTAGAGCTGGCGGGTGCAGACGACGTGCGCTCTCTGCTGCAGGACGCGATGACTGGCGCTGCAGGGGGTGCGGGGAGTGCGGGAGGTGCGACGGGCGTGCAGGCCCCGCCCCCGCAACCGCCGGCCCCGCCCCGCCTCCCTATACGTTTGCCATCCGGCGAGACTGCTACACTAGCGCCACCGGTAAGAGGAATTTGGACATCTTCTTTAGTTTTTTTTGTCACTTAGTCACTTTCTTTTTTAAGGTTTTCGTTTTTTTGATTTTTTTAAGTGTTTGTTATTAGCTGTGGCCCATAACTACGTCCTCGCGACATTAAAAAAAAAACTAATAAGTATGTGCTCTTCCAGACTATGTTCTACATCTATGTCAAATTTTAGCGAGATTCATTAAACCGTTCTGGAGATAGTTTATCTCAAACATACGTCCATACATTTGCATTTATAATATTAGTAAGATATACCAGGTGATGCCTTCCAACTACTGGGCGGAGGGTTCCCGCGGCAGTCTGGAGGACGCGGCCGGCAGACCTGCCTCCGCACTCTCCACTTCAGAGTGTCTGCAGACCTTCCTTGCTAGGTAACTAACATTTCACTAAGCGCTATTGATTTACACATGTTTGATAAAATATATGATTTTTTAGTAAATTTTAATGACAAAACAGTGTCTTGTCAGACAGACGGACGGACAACAAAGTGATCCTATAAGGGTTCCGTTTTTTTCCTTTACAAGTACGGAACCCTAAAAAGATATGGACTTAACGATAACCTTGTGTACTTTGGAAAAATGTTTAATTCTGTACTTGTAGGATTTATTTTTTATATTTCGTATATACCCGATACGTCTTATAACCGATGCGTCACTATAACCGATACGTCACTATAACCAGTATATTGTTATAACCGAAACATCGTTATAACCTATACGACGTTATAACAGATACGTCGTTATAACCGATACGTCATTATAACCGAAACTTGACTATAACCGATACGTCATTATAACCGAAACTTGACTATAACCGATACGTCATTATAACCGAAACTTGACTATAACCGATACGTCATTATAACCGAAACTTGACTATAACCGATACGTCATTATAAGCGATGTGCCGATGTTGAATGCAGGATCGGTCTGGAGCAGTTGTGGTGCGTGTTGGAGCGCGAGCAGATATCTGTCGACATATTGTCTGAGATGTCGCACGAGGATCTGCGCGCTGTCGGCGTCGCCGCGTATGGACACCGGCATCGCCTGATCAAAGCCGCGAGACATACGCTGCACACACAGTCAGGTAACAATATCACCTCACTAAGGCTCCCCTGAGGGTCTCACCTACCCTAAGAGTGCTGGTCCAGTGCATCACTTCACTCATATCTTTGACATTCACAGATATGTGCAGCATCAACATGTTATCCTTCACACTAACAACATAGGATTTACATATGTAAAATACATTGGTATATAGCGGGATTCGAACCCAGGAGCTGCAGACAAATTAACTGCTTTAACCCTTGAGCCAACCACTCCCTCCCACTTAAATTTAACATACATACCCATAAAAGAAAACCTTTTGATAATCAAGTAAAATAACTATCGCTCGCGACTCCGCATGGACATAATTTAAAAAAAACATAATAAGTAGTCTATTTGTTCTTCCAGACTATTTTCTACATCTATGACAAATTTTATCAAGATCTACGCAACCATTCTGGAGAGACCTTCAAACAAACATCTAAACATTTTATAATATAAGTGAGATGTATAACAGAGTACTACGGAGGCACGACGCTGGTGGAGGTGGTGCCGGAGGAGTGTGGGGGCGGGGCTGGTGCGGCGGGGGCGGAGGGTGCGGGGTGCGGGGAGTACGGGATGCTGGAGCGAGAGATGCAAGACTCTGTGCGCGCACACCGCGACCATGTGGGAGGACAGTTCTCAAGATATCGTGTTGTTAGGGTGAGTACAACTATATTGTCTTTTATTAGGTGGCAAACGTAGTCACCTGGATTCGCCGAAATGGCGAAAACACGACTGTCTATAGACATTTGTGAGAGATGGAAGGTAGGCATCGCATCTGCAATTGCGGAACAGGCAGAGGTCGATTCGCTATTTTGGCGAATTTAAGTAACCACTAGCTTTTTGCCAACTTATTAGTCTATCGTACTAATATTATAAATGCGAATGTTTGGATGGATGGATGATTGAAGGTATCTCCAGAACGGTTCAACGGAGCTTGATGAAATTTGGCATATAGAACATAGTCTGGAAGAATACATAATTATTTTTTTTAGTTGCGAGCGACACTTAATGATTTAATATTCAATTACAGATACAAAAGATAGTTAACGGACGTCTCTGGGAGCGATATCAGCACAGACGTAACGAGGTGTCTGAAGAGGCGGGTGTACCAAACGAGAGGATGCTGTTCCATGGATCACCATTCATAAACGCTATCGTTCAGAAAGGCTTTGATGAACGACACGCGTATATCGGTGAGTTGACTAATATTGAATTAAGTTGACTTGCATTGACTTATGTTTTTTTTTATCATAAGGTGGCAAACGAGCGAGCGGTCACCTGAAATCGCTGAAATAGCGAAGAGACCGTTGCCCATAGACATACACAATTGAATATGCGTTGCCTACCTTTAATCCACGGAGGAGAGGATGCACAGAAAGAAAATATTTTTTCATGCATCCTCTCATCCGAAAAGTCCAATTCCACTTCCCATCCTTTACTTATAAGAAAAAGTGTGGGAAGTGAAAGAGGAGTAAATTAGTCCTCCGGGACGCACACTCATCAGACTTGAGGCGTGTCTTCTGTGTGGTCGTGGTATATCACCGGACGAGTCGGGACTATTCCTGCGAACATGTTAAAGCTCGCTCTACCACTGTTAAAAATGTTGACTTACATATTGACCTACATTGACTTATTTTGATGTTGAGCGAGTGGACTGCATGATTGAATGAAAGGCTGGTTGGTTGCTGATGTTTATAATACGATGAAAGATGATGTACAAAATAGACAAATATGATTTATGTGTCATTGTGCTGAAGCGCAACTGAAGGTCGTGGTGTGAGGGTGCGATGGTACGGGTAAGATCTGAAAGGGCTGACCCCCCGCGCTGCTTCCCCGCCAGCGGTGCTGTAGTACAGAACAGATGATTAGCATTGACTTATACTCATACTGACTTATGTTGACTTACATTGACTTATAATAGTCAATGTAAGTCGACATAAGTCAGTATACGGTATAAGCCTTCAAGTCACAGTTTAAAACTTAAATTACTTATAAAGCTCAGATTGTCGAAATTATTTGTATTATTTCGTGTTAGGTCAATTTTGTTTTGACATACTTTAGAGTAAACGACTGATTTTGACTTGTGTGACATTCGATTGGTGTTCTTCCCCTAAGTGTCATACAGTTAGTTACAGCTAGATTTTTTTTTATTTTGTAATTTCAGGTGGCATGTTCGGAGCTGGTATATATTTTGCGGAGCACTCCTCTAAGAGTAACCAGTACGTGTACGGCTTTGGTGGTGGCTCCGGATGTCCCGCGCACAAAGATCGTAGCTGCTATCTCTGTCATAGGTATATTACTAATATTATAAATGCGAATGTTTAGATGGATGGCTGGATGGATGGATTGAGGATGTTTGTTTGAAGGTATGTCCAGAACGACTCAACGGATCTTGATGAATGTTGCTACGATAACATAGTCTGGAAAAATACACAAGTTATTTTTTTTTATTTGCGTACGACAGCTAACGATTTAATATTATAAATGCGAATGTTTAGATGTATGTTTGATGGTTTAGCTCCAGAAAAGCTGTATGGATCTCGCTGAAATTGGTCATAGATGTAGAACATAGTCTGGAAGAACACAAAAGCTATGTCTTTTAATCTCACTAGCGCCACTCTTTAGCCTATTTTGTGGCATTTTCTGTGCCTAAGTTGGTTTTATAGGACCAACAAGGATATCTAACCCGGTGGATATAAGTGAAACTAAATTATGACAGTCCACTTGCGCCCCTCAGTCTGTCAAAAATATGCTACAAGATCCTCTTTGTATTGTAGCTGTCATTTTTTCTTTTATGTCATTTTCTATGTCTAAGTAAGCGTTCAAGGAGTTTCAATACTTTACAGTTATGTCACATAGAAAAGAAAGATATAATTTATATTTTTAAAATATGTTAAAGTTTTTTTTAATTGTCTTATCTGTTAATATTTAATTAACAATATATATTTTAACAAAAAAGTGAATTTTAATTTATCACTTTAACCAGTATGTTTGACATCCAATATATAAAAGAAAGTGGTGTTAGTTACACTATTTATAACTCAAGAACGGCTTTACCGATATGACTGAAAATTGTTGAAGAGGTAGCTTGGAGCCAGGAGACGGACATAGGATACTATTTATTCATTTTTTCGAATTTATGCCTTGAAGAGCTGCTTTTCATTTAACTTATGTATATATTAAGTTTTTTTATATATCCACACGGAATGAGTCGCAGGCGACAGCTAGTATTCTGATAGAATCAACCGCGACAGTAGCGCCCCTCAGGTTCAGATATTGTTTGACTAACTTTTTTCTTACTAATATTATAAATGCGAATGTTTGAATGAATGTATGGTAGAATGTAACTGTATGCATCTCGATGAAATTTTGAAATAAATATAGAACATAGTCTTATGCTTTTTTTTAATTCCGCTCAGACGGAGTCGCATGCGGCAGCTAGTTTGATATAAAAATGTATATTTCAGACAAATGTTACTATGTCGTGTAACACTGGGTCGGGCATTCCAACTGTCCAGTGCGATGAAGATGGCGCACGCACCTCCAGGACACCACAGTGTGGCGGGCAGACCCAGCCATGGTGGACTATGTTTCCCGGAATACGTTGTCTACAGAGGAGAACAGGTAAAAAAAAATCAACGGAAGAATACGAATCTAATGACACTTCACACGTCAAAATCGCTTCAGAAATTCACTATAAATTAAGATACAAAGGAATTTTAGATAAATCAGTTAAAAAAAATTATTAAAGAAAATCGCAATTGCATATGCGTTGCCTACCTTTAATCGACGGAGGAGAGGATGCACAGAGAGAAAATATCTTCTCTTTCCATGCATCCTGTCATCTGGAAAGTCCACTTCCACTTCCCATCATTTCCTTATAAGAAAAAGTGTGGGAAGGTAAAGAGGAGTAAATGAGTCCTCCGGGACGCACACTCATCAGACTGCACGTCTTCTGTATGGTCGTGGTATTTCACCGGACGAGTCGGGACTATTCCTGCGGAGATGTTAAAGCTCGCTCTACTCTTAAATAAAAAAGTTATTTTTGTAATGCAAATTAAAAATTTGTAGGAGAAAATTTATATTAGGTCAAGAGCTATTTTACTTAGGACACTTTAACCGTGGGTTTCTGAGATTAAAATCTATATATAAAACATATCGTCTGTCATTGACTATTATTGTTCACAACACAGAGATATGTTACAAAGCGTCGGTGGTTCAGGAATCAAGCATTTGACTTTCAATCTGCATGTCCTGGGTTCGAATCCCGCCATGTACCAATGTGTTTTTCCATTTCCGATTTACATATATACATTTATCCGATGTTCTTACGGTGAAGGAAAACATCGTGATGCTGCACATATCTGAGAAGTAATTCAAAGATATGTGTGAAGTCAACCCGCACTTGGCCAGCGTGGTTGACTATGACCTAGTCACATAACTTAGGATAGGCTCCGAGCTCCTCAGTGGGGACGTATAGTGAGCTGATGATGATGATGATTAATTTGCTTTAAACGGAGATTTACGTCTCAGAAACCTACGTTTAATCAAACATTTATGAAATTATTGTTTTTTTTCCAGGCTTATCCAGAATACCTGATAACATACCAGATAGTCAATGAAGAGACAAACACTGGATCTGTTTAATAAATATTTGTGATATTTTTATAGTGCATCTATACTCTAAATGTCAAAAGACAATCGAACTTGTCTATGGTCGGAATGTGAAACAAAAGTTAATTATCTGTGGTCGGAATGTGAAACAAAGTTATTTGTCTATGGTCGAAATGTGACACAAAAGTAATTTGTCTATGGTCGTAATGTGACACAAAAATTATTTGTCTATGGTCGGAATGTTAAACAACAGTTATTTGTCTATGGTCGAAATTTTAAACAGTTATTTGTCTGTGGTCGGAAATGTGACACAAGAATTATTTGTCTATGGTCGGAATGTTAAACAACAGTTATTTGTCTCTGTTCATAAAACAGATTATAAAACTTTTTGTCTATGCTCGGAATAAAACAAAGACAATCTTAAATTTTATTATATCATGGTTAAAATATCACAAATTTTTAAAAACATTCAAACAGATTGTCTATTATATTTTAGACGCAATAGAAAACAATATAGCTTAAATAAATTATCTATGGCCGTCACCTGAAATTAGATGGAAAATCCTTGTCTATGGTCATGTGAAACAAGATATTAGATAAATAAAATGTCTATGGTTAGTAATGTAAATACGTTTTAATTTAATTATTTTTAAGATTCGGGTTTTGGACATAAATTGACATTGCTTTTCTATTTAAAAAAAAAGCTGTGATCTTTTAAAAATGGCGACTATGGATATAGTTTTGCTATTATGGTGTATTCATATTTTTATACGGTTGACATTTTATGTTAAATTTACCGGCAGCTATTTTAACAAGAATCGAGAGGCTTTTCTAACCTAAATTCACTAAATAAGGTATCGTTCATTTTTCTCGTGTATATAAAAGTCGATTTCGATAGAAATGAGTATAAAAATTAAGCAATTTTACCTTTATAAGGTTATATACATTATTTTAAAGTTGTCAAAATAAATCAATATCACGGTTATTTATCTTACGTATAACTTAAAAATGGTGAACTTATATAAAAACGGCTAAAAAACTCACTCAATGAGCTGAGGGCCTTGTCCGCGAAATAATACCAGTACCACTTACCCTGATGAAGGGTTCCTGATCAGCTCGAAACTAGTCGTTGCCGACACCAGACCATGCGTGAGTGTTTTAGCCATTTTTATATCAGTTTATTAAAATGGTGTATTCAGAAAGACAAGTATATCAAAACAGAATAATTGAATCTCAACTAATAAAGACAAACATCACGACCTTCAGAGTTTACGTACTTTATGTCTAATTCACATAATGTCAGTACAGTATGACAATAGCACTGGCATAATGTAAACTTTCACTGGCGCCAGTAACGATAGTCACTCTCTAGTCTTACTGGCATAATACAAACACTAACACCAGTGACGTTAGTGCAACGCTACTGTCTTACTGTACTGGTAAAGTGTAAATCTAATTGATGCCAGTGATGTTAGTGCAACGCTACTGTCTTACTGTACTGGTAAAGTGTAAATCTAATTGATGCCAGTGATGTCAGTGCAACGCTACTGTCTTACTGTACTGGCATAATGTAAACAAGACATTATTTTGAATAGCTATAAAGCTAGAAAACTCGCTCATGTATTTGTACATTTTTTTAGTATTAATTGTATAAAATTTTTTTGGTATTGTTGAATATATTTGAAGGAAAAAAATGTATTTTTTTAAAAAAAACTATCGAAATTAATAACTTTAGAATAGCAATAATTTTATTGTTTTTCTTTTTTATTATAATGTTGTATATATTGAGAATTTTGTTTAGAAATGATTGTGTGTGTATATTCGTATATATTTTGTGGATTTTATAGTGTTTTTTTTTTACTTTTAAAAAGTTTCTAAATCAGGTTTTTAAAAAAAAAAAATCATCGCAAATTTTCCTTCACATAAACTTACCTTTTACAATTTGTAGTCACTAGCTGTCATCCGCAACTCCGTCCGCAAGGAATTTAAAAAAATAACTAGTCTATGTGTTCTTCCAGACTATGTTCTACATCTATGACAAATGTCATCAAGATCTATACAGCTGTTTTGTGGATGGAATTGGATTTTTGTTGGAAGTCTCCGGAATGGTTGTATGGATCTCGTTGAAATTTGTCATAGATGTAGAACATAGTCTGGAAGAACACATAGGCTACTTATTTTTTTAATTTTAATTCAGCCAATACTATGTCCATTTAGAACCACTGTTCCCAAACTTATTTTGTCTACTGCCCACTTTGAGAATAAATATTTTTTACCGCCCCCATATTTTCACATATTTAAAAACCACTATAACTTCAAATTAAATTAATTAATTATTGTGACCTATATATGTATATTAACAGAGAATTGTAAAGGAAACTTTTACTATAACCCGCAACTTGAGACCTGCAGCGCCCACAAGGGGGCGTTATCGCACACGTTGTTTTGTTTAAACAATGAGTTTTCAGACTTTATTTTGTCTAGTTTAAAAAATAAAACGAAACATCTTTATTAAACTTTTTAATAATAAACAATGAAATATGCTTACAAATTGACTAGATATTTGAAACATTTGCATATAAGGCGTTTTTAAACATGTTTTTGTGAATGTTACATCTATGGGAACCCACGGATAAGCTAAATGGACATCAAAGTACAATTTATATCCCAAGTTTAATGCTTAATTTAGTTACATATTCATCTTATGTTGTTAGTGTGAAGGAAAACATTATGATGCTGCACATATCTGTGAATGTCAAAGATATGTGTGAAGTGTCGCACTGGACCAGCATTCACTATCACATAGTCATATCACTTAGGATAGATTAGACCCTCAGTGGGGACTTGATGAGCTGATGATGAACTGCATATCAGTATAAATAGTTTCTATTCTAAACATCATATACTAATTATTAAACTTTGAACTAAAATAATAAATAAATTAGATTTTTTTTTTATACTTAAAAGGTATCGATTAAAATTATTCTATTTAACAAAATTCGATAAATTTGACTAATTTTTCAACAAGATAAACTATTAAAATTAATAATCTAATATTATTCCATTTACTTTGGGTTTCTGAGAACCAAAATCTCTGTATAAAGACAAAAACAGATAACATTAGTCTCGGAAACCCACATTTAATTCTTTAAGCGTCAATAGCCTAATGGTTAAGGGTACGGAGTTCCGATCACGAGATCGGTGGTTCGAATCCCGCCATTCGACAATTGTCTTAAACCATATCCAAGCACAAGTCTAGACCTTACTTGGAATGGTTAAATATTAGTAAATTTACAAAAAAATCTGCTATTATTTAAAGAAAAAAAAATGTCTTCAAAATTTCCAACTACCCACATGTTCTACCCTACAAACAAGGATTTAAATCTCCAGTCATATTAACATGAGAACAAGTAATCTTCTGTCCCGTTGGTACAGCAACTTTGAATAACTTGCCCTGCGGCATACAAACACACACTTTGAACTGTCCCGTTATATATTTCTCTGATTTATTTAACGGACTGGCAATAGGTAAATATCTTACATCCACAAATATACCTTCTTTACCGCTAAGAACAACGGAACCGTTGATAGATTTCAAATATATATCCTGGTCTGCGTTCCAGAATAATTCTTTAGATTCCATCCGTGTACCCTCAGCGCCTCTTAAATGTGCAGCAGTTTCCGATCTGATGATCAAATCTTCATCTATTGGTGATGAGATGCGTTTAGTTGAGATTTGCTGAAATTAATAGTTTTTCTTTTGCTTTTATCTTACTAATATTATAAGTTAAAAATGTGTATATTAGAGGAAGTTTGAAAGTAGCGCCAGTGATCGAGAAATTGAGGAGTAAAAGATTAGCGTGGTTTGGACATGTTATGAGGAGGGATGATGATGATATAAGCAAAAAAGTAATGAGATTGAATGTGGATGGCTACAAAGGTAGAGGAAGACCAAAAAAAAGTATGAAATGACTGTGTGAAAGATATGCGTAGGAAGGGTGTAGACTCAGATATGACGGCTGATAGAGATGTATGGAGGAGTAGTACATACTGTGCCGACCCTCGATAGGGATAAGGGCAGGTTGATGATGATGACCTTACTAATATTATAAATGCGTATATTTAGATGGATGTTTATTAGAAGGTATCTCTTGAACGGCTGAATGGAGCTTGATGAAATTTGGCACACATATAGAACATAGTCTGGAAGAAAACATAGACTAATTAAGTTTTATTTCTAATTCCGTGCGTGCGGAGTCGCGGGCGACAGCTAGTTAGGCTATAACAAATAACAAAATTTTTGTACACATATGTGTAATAGTACCAATCTTACCTTAGCTAACAAATTATTGACACCATCAGGGATGTTCATCTCGGGAGCATCGGTACTGAACACCACCTCTCCCGAGTCAGGATCCACCAATTGCAAGGAGCTGACACCTTTCACGAACACACCTGATGTGTTGACTATAAGCTTGGCATCTGATCGTGACAACCTGGAGAAATAAAGACATATTAAAAGTATTATCATCAGCTCATTGCACTGCCCATCAAGTTGCTCAGTGCATATTCTAAGTTAGAGTTATTAATGTGGCAAGCCAAGATTAAATTTTCATATTACTGGTACAATTCTATTGGTTTTATGTTTATACTAGTTTTTGTAGCTGTGTTAGGGTAAGGAGAAGTGAGTCAGTCGGCCAGGGCAGCTGAGGGGGCATTGTATGCGCCAGAGTGGGATATAAAGGGGCGCCTGCAATGCCCTTCTATCTTCGGAAGATTTCCCTGACACCAAAAAAAAGGGGGAAGAAATCTAGGCCAAGGTGCTGGTATTGCTTAAACCGTTCCTGAGTTTTAGTACATGACTTTGTCTTTTGATATATCTTTTGTACAATTGTGGAATAATATATTGTGGTTCTTTATCTCTTTAGAAAATAGAATTTCATTGGTTATTCAAACTTTCAAGTTAAACAAACATAGTGGTATGTCAAATTACAATATCTAACATTAACTAAAATTTAAAAAATACCTTGTCTGTAAATTAAATGTAATAGATCCATTTTCACTGCTAATAGTCATAGGAGTGTCTTGGAAGCTCTCCAGTACACCATCTCTCTTGTAGACGTGGTCCAAATCAATAGCTCCAAGGAACTTGACTGCATTATGGTCAAGTAGGAACTCCATGCTCTCCAAACCTATAAAATAGAGTCGGAGATATGACGATGATACGACATGAAGTTGTTTCGATGTGTTATAACTTTATGTAAACTGACCCACATACATTAAGTGGTGTATTAGTAGAAATATGTTTTAAGTATACTAAACAAGAAAATAGTGATTTGGAATGGAGTAAGATCGAAAGTATGTATGGATTGTGTGAAAGAGGATATGAGATGTATGGAATTAAACAAATTACCATATCCAAGTCTCAAAACTGCGAAGACCGTAGAAATCAATACCAAATTACCAATGGCGAGAACAAACATCAAGCATACGAGTGTCCAAAAGGCAAAAGTCTTTCGTCCTCCATGCATGTTCTTACTAACATCATTTCCATTCTTATCTGAATAGTTTTTAACTCCATTTCCATTATTCTTGTTAAGAAAAACCTGACTGTGAGTCGGTGTTTTCGTTATAAGAGCTTTTTCAGCGTGATTCCTTTCAAGTGTACTTTCAGACATCGCGTCCGACATTGGCGAAACACCACGCAAGCCCGTCAACATTGTTGTAACTGGAAATATCGAAGTTTTTGATCGTAATCATAAAACTTATAAATAGAAATATACTATACGATTTTCATTGAATCAAAATATTGAGCGAAGTTAACGCGATGCTATTGGTCGAAACATCATCCAATGAGCTGATCACTGTTGAAGTCGCAATGGATACTTGGGTTTTTGCCGGTTTATTAGCAAATTTTCTATAATATCTTCAAAATAATAAATATTTAAAGGACGGTATAGGAGGAAAAAATAGTTTTAAAATTAAGGCGACAATAAATATTGTAGTTATGAAAATATTTTGAACACAAAACATTTGAATTTCTAAACGCAACGTTGAATTGCAGTAACATGACAGCGCTGAATATTTTTGATTTTGACAATTTGCTTTGTAATCATGGCGTCTGAGCGTTATAGTTTCTCTCTTACAACTTTTAGGTAAATTTGATTGTATTTACTATTTACTAGAACCTTTAAACTATGTAAACTCCTTTAGTGAACATGCCGTTATCGATTGTAATACAAAACTTCTATATTTTGTATTTCATCATGTATTTTTTTTTAAATGAATGAATGTGCAAATATAAAAGTATTTTATTCCAGCCCGTCGGGTAAATTGGTGCAAATTGAATATGCTTTAGCCGCCGTAGCCGCCGGCGGGACCTCCGTCGGGATAAAAGGTAATTTTTCTTATAAAATAGAGGTTATGTGGGTGTCCAAATATTTATTTGTTAAAAATATAATTGTGCTTAATGTATATTTTATTTTCTTCCAGCATCAAATGGCGTCGTGATTGCAACAGAGAACAAACACAAAAGTATTTTGTATGATGAACACAGTGTGAACAAAGTGGAAATGATAACAGGTCATATTGGTAAGTTTAATTTTCATATACAGTCGAACCAGGCTAAGTGAGGAACCTTAGACCTCAGTTTATTGACAGCCAGAGTCATCGTGCAGTTCCGATGGACAACCTCTAGAAGAAATCCTTAAAATTGAGTGAATAAAATAAGTACAAACCGCATACACTGTAACTTATTTTCATTCCGACCACTGATTACTTCAAATCAATCCGATTGCTGCTTATTTGCTATCTTGTAAAAAAATAATTCTCTATCGTAGGCATGGTCTACTCGGGCATGGGCCCTGACTACCGTTTGCTGGTGACCAGAGCTCGTAAGATGGCTCAACAGTACTATCTGATGTATCATGAACCGATACCCACCGCACAGCTGGTGCAGCGAGTTGCTACAGTGATGCAGGAGTACACACAATCTGGGTATGACACAATTTCTTAATTTAACTAATATTATAAATGTGAATGTTTAAATGGATGTTTGTTAGAAGGTAGCTACAGAATAGCTGAACAGTTCTTGCTGAAATTTGGCTTACATATAGAACACAGTCTGGAAGAACACAAAGGCTACTAAGTTTTTAAATGACGCGTGTATGAAGTCGCAGGCAACAGCTTATCTTACTAATATTATAATTGTGAATATTTAGATGGATGGATGTTTGTTTGAAGGTGTCTCAAGATGAATGAACAGATATTAATGAAATTTGGCTTAGTCTGGAAGAACATATATCCAATTATGTTTTTTTTTCATAAAGCGCGGACAGAGTCGCGGGCGACAGCTAGTCACTAATAAATGTCTGATCTCAAACTATCAATAACTATTTTACAGTGGTGTCCGTCCATTCGGAGTATCTCTACTGATATGTGGGTGGGATGAAGGCAGGCCATATCTGTTCCAATGTGACCCCTCCGGCGCCTACTTTGCTTGGAAAGCTACCGCTATGGGCAAGAACTTTAACAACGGAAAGACTTTCTTAGAAAAGAGGTATAGTATTCATTTAAATTACTGTAAGCAACCAATTGAGACCACTCCACTTAGAAACATACTGGTTGCTTTGCTCCCACATCTCTTTATGTCCTGGCAACACCTAAAATTGCATTCCCCAAAAAATATTTTGTATTTTCCTAACTATTTTTTATTCCCAAGAAAACAGTAACATAACCTATGTTTCTGTAAAACTTGGAGGAATGGACAGTGTCTTATCATGTGTAGTAAAGTACTGAGGGTCTTGGTGTGTTCCTCGGAAATCCCAGAACCCACTTCCAGTGCTCGAGGGTAGCAACCGAGTGGGTTTTAGTGGTTCAAATCCCCACTTAAACCTCTCTTTCCCCATAGAAGTCTTTACCTTTTGAAGATTTTCTTAACAATACCAAATAAAGCTATTTTTGATTGTATTTAGAGAGTAAGGGAGTAAAATCAAATTGTCCTACACTAGTAGAGACCATAAAATTTAATTTCATAAGATTTTAATACTTACCTACTGCCCACAGCCAAGGAAGAATATTTTTAATATTTAAAACGTCTGTCCAGGTATACTGAGGAACTGGAGCTTGATGATGCAGTCCATACCGCAATCTTAACTCTGAAGGAGGGCTTTGAAGGTCAAATGACGGCTGATAATATTGAAGTGGGCATCTGTGATGCAAACGGCTTCCGTAGACTTGAACCCTCACACGTCAAGGATTATCTCGCTAATATACCCTAATTATTATTAAAGAAATTAAAATTTTGTTTGTATTATTGTGTTTTATTTTTTACTAACTGTCGCCCGCGACTCCATCCGCGCGTAATTAAAAGAAAAAAAAAATTAGGACCCTATGTGTTCATCCCGAATATGTTCTATATTTACGCTAAATTTTCTCGAGAACCGTTAAGCCGTTTTGGATATTCAAACAAACATCCATCGTCGTTTAAGCGTCAATAGCCTAATAGTTAATTGTATGGACCCCGCCATTCGACTATTGTCGTAAAACATATCCTAGCACTAGCCTAAAGCTTAGTTGAAATGGCAAAAGTAAATTTCCTAAAAAAATCTGCTAAAATTTTTTATAAAAAAAATCTAAACTTTACCTAAACACAGAGTTCACAAAATATGTATACACAAGTAAACAAAAAATGTTAATAATAGCCAGTAAAAAAACGATTTTAGTATTTTTTACTTAAATTGAGATAAAAAAAAGATACGCAACTCATCTTACATCGAATCGATTATGACACATCGTATTTTTGTGATTTATTTCCGTTTTACCAATACAGTAAGCTGTAATTCACAAACTTTACACAAGTAAAGAAGAAATATTAATAAAACATTACATCACATAGCTTGTACTAAAATTATTTTAGTCACGTGTACTTGAATTAAGATTCCTTCAAAAAACAACCAAAAACATAAGTTCCATCGAATCGATTTCGATAAAGAATGACACATCACTATCGATCTGAAAGCGATTGTACAATCCTTCGAATCGCTGTTAACTTCACACTTGCTCATTGCCCATTTATTTCATTCAAGTGGCAGTTGTCATGGCGGCAGTGCGTTCTTTACGGACTAGTGGTGTTTTTCTATTATTATTTTTATTGAAAATAACGAACGCATCGTCCGGACCATGGATATTTTCGGTGGACGTAAATGAAAAATCGTGTTCCGAGTTAAAATGTGTTTACAATTTGAATGTGAACGGGTTAGATTTCGATGTGTGGTCATTAACCGAGGTGCCGGCGGCTCGTGGTGGGGACTGCGAGGGTCGATTTCTAGAAGAAAAGTCGACTAAAAACGTCGAATTGATTGTACCTGTTGCGAAAAAGTTGTTCTTCTGTGCAAAGGGACCTGATGGAGTGTGGTATAACCAAGGAGAGAGCTTATTTTTGGAAGCCAATGACGTCATCGGGGCGAACGCACAATACGAGTCGTAAGTCCTCATTAAGTATACCAAATGGACAGATAACATATTGAATACAAGTGCAAAACATGTACTTTGAGTTTTTGTACATAACCTTTTTTATTTATCGCCTAAAAACTGCTTATTTACGTCATTAAACTTTGCGATGTTCGAATTTTTCATATACATTTTTAATTGTAAAATATTACGTAAAGTGTGAATGAAAATTCGAAAGTTTAAATTAATGCTTAATCAGAAAAACATTAGATAATTACTTTAAATGTATTTTACGATTTTAAAATGAGAACCACTTGTTACTAATTCAACACAATTGACTAATGTTCATTGAAGTTTTTTATGGCCATTTTGTTACTCTTATGTTAAATGATATTTTTTGTATAGTTCTTTTCGATAGTAATAAGATTCTTAATTTAATTCAATCATTTTTAACAATGAATAAATTAATTTTATTAAAAAAATAGACGTTAAGAAAAATAAAATAATTGTCGTACTTAATTTGAAATTTGAACTGATCTATTGGTAATCCATTGCAAAGACATTTGCAACACATATTGTCATCTCATACACTCTTTATGACTAGAACAGAGACAAAAATATAATAATATAATTTACGACAGTCGAATTCTACGGGGATTAGCAAAGATTTGGAAACAAGATAAAAATAAATTTGAATAATAAAAAACTGTAATTTGCCTACCATTTCTAAACGTATGAAGAGGTAGACAGGGCCTTTACCGTTTCCCGCGCGAGATTTTTACGGTGCTCCTTTTTTTTCAAGTCGAAGGAAATCTTCCAAAGATATCCGGCGCTTGCTCAGGGGCCGTCACCATACTTGGAACCTATCCTAACGTGATTGTGGCTAGGTATAGACCGTTTGAATGTTTTTGGCGGGTTTGTGGTCATCTGCATCCTGCCAGTGTCCTCCCCCTTACTCGTCTACATTGTGTTCTGCGCAACGACTCGTGCGATGTTCCGAGCCGTTGTAATATTTGACAACCTCAATACTTTGAATTTTATTTTTGCATCACGGAAAACACAGCTTTCCTTATATGAATATATTTAAACTTGTCAAGGAAATCGTTCAGTTCACAGTTTCATGCAATGATTCAGATAAAGCGAGATGTATGAGTCAGTTTGTATGTGTCGTAATTGATTTAGGATATGGGAGCGTAATTATCAGAAATACAGGAAAAACTATGCAAAATAATTAATAAAAAAAATAAAACCTCCTTACCTTTAACACTGGCTGAAAATAAAAATATTATTTCTTTCGCGCTCGTAATAAAAAAAAACGTAATTAGGCCTATGTACTCTTCCAGACTATGTTCTACATCTATGCCTTTAAGCGAGATCCATGCAGCTGTTCACTTAACAGTTATTTTTTTTAAAGTCATAGTGATGACACTTAGGAGAAGAATACGAATCGAATGACACCACACAAGGTAAAATCGGTTCAGTATTTTAGGCTCAAGGCACAAATAAAAAATTGTCCCAAAAAAATATCTTTTCAGTCGCGTACAATAATCTTTGTGGTGTTTTATTTCTAGTCTTAACTACTTCCTAGAAATTCTTTGTCATCGGAATGCCGTAAACAAACCCTGGCCGTCACCAGACACGTGAATAAACATACAGACAAGCACACACTTTATCATAAACAAACAGACAACTTATTTATTTATACGTTACTAGATAATTGTCTACATGTCTCTTCTAACCATAAATCTTACATTATTCCATCTCTCTCATTCTCTTTGGAACAAGTGAGATAGAAATACATATTTTACATTATTCCATCTCTTTCATTATCTTTGGAACAAGTGAGATAGAAATACATATCTCACATTATTCCGTCTCTCTCATTCTCTTTGGAACATTTGAGATAGAAATACATATCTTTCATTATTCCGTCTCTCTCATTCTCTTTGGAATAACTGAGACAGAAATATATTTATAATTCACGCAATTTTTTTTTAGCTAGAAAACTGAAAAAGATCTCGTAAAGTAGCTTATTTATAAAAACAATTTATAATTTGAAACTTTTGCCCGCGACTTTGTCTGTGAAGAATTAAAAAACCTAGATTAGTACCCTATGTATTCCAGACTGTTCTACATCTATGCCTTTAATCGAGATCTATACAGCCGTTCTGGAGATACCTTTTAATATACATCTAAACATTTATAAAACTTAATACTGATGTTATGTAATAAATAAATATGTACTATATTTTACGCTAAAATGATTAAGTTATCATAGTATATGATAAAAATTTAAACCGCATTTTGACATTATCAATAGCACCCGAAAAAAATATAGTATCTTAACTAATCAAAAATATATACGATCTTTGACTTTTAAGAGACAGGACTTGTCACGACGCACATTCTCCACTCTCAAGTAATAACAAATTGCGTGTATGCTCCTTTTGTGTGTGTAAAATTTTATCAATTACGTTCATAAAGTCTTTTCAAAATTACGTGTCATCAATATATGACAGGTATGAGTGTCATCTATACGTCACCCCGTCCCCGCTCCCCAAGTGGCATAATTTATATAATATTAGCGTTTGCCCCCGACTTTGTTAGCGCGGAATTAAAGAAATGGTTTAGATAACTCTCGCACACAGCTAAAAGTCACTTCAAACACGGTCCAATCGATTCGGAGATTACCTGGAACAAACGAAGTAGGCAGACAGAAAAAAAAATTGGCCTTAATCAACGCTTTTTACGATATACGATTTTTTTTTTCATCAATCATACATCTACATACTGTTAGGAAGAAAATCCGACATTGTACCGGTTTACTGGCGCAACACTATCCTTACTTAAATATCAACGTTTATGTCCCCTCACTACATCTGACACTTGACTTTGTAATGAAAGCGCGCCATCCGCGACAAAGAATTCTAATTATTAATGTCTAAAAGTACGATATATTTTTTGTATTATAGACACTTCAATATTATTAATCGCCTAGTCCATTTCTCTATAATCAAAGTATAAAGTAAACATACAGTAACGTAGTCTTTTAACGCCCATTTAGTGGATAAAACGAAAGATAAAAATATATCTCGTACACATTCACGTGACATAAAAAGCGTAGGCAGAGATCTCAGCTCTTAAAATAACTGCCAGACTTTGCAAAATCATGTCTCAGTTTACTTTTTTTTTCGTTTGCGCGGAATTAAAAAAAAAACTTTATTAGTCTATGTGTTCTTCCAGACTAGGTTCTACATCTATGACATATTTCATTCTTCTTCATATCATTCCTCTACCAATTCCTTTCCATCTTTCCAATCATAAGAGTTAAGGGTGTGTTCAAGGGTTAAAGCACTTGACTTATAATCTTCAGGTCCTGCTAAATCCCGACTAAACCAATGTGTTTTACATATGTACATTTATCTTATATTGTTAGTGTGAAGGAAAACATGTTGATGCTGTACATATCTGTGAATGTCAAAGATATGTGTGAAGTGATGCACTGGACCAGCATTCACTATCACCTAGTCACATCACTTAGGGTAGGTAAGACCCTCAGTGGGTACTTAGTGAGCTGATGATGTTAATCATACTAATTTGTCGAATTCTATTCTTGAATACCAGAATAATGTCTTCACTTCGTATCCAGATGGCCTGATATTTACACGTACATTATTGGCAGTAAGCGTCAGATATTTATAGGCACGTGCGCTCCATCTGGCCTATACAAATCATAATTAAACGTATCTACGTATGTAGTCAAGGAATTTAATTCCCTTCCCACTTAATATCGTAAAACTATCACCAACTGTTTGGAAGAAAATCCGACAGTGTGCCGGTGTGGCGCAACACTAGCCTTACTAAAATGTCGACGTTTATGTCCCCTCACTGATCATTCTGACACTTGACTTTGTAATGAGAGCAAGACTTTCGCGCTAAAGGATTCTAATTAATAATGTCTAAAAATTAAGAGCTACAACACTGTATTTTTATAACAAGATTAGTTTTCGCGACTCCGACCGCGCGGAATTAAAAAAAAAATAGTAACCTATGAGTTCTTCTATGTTCTATTTGTGTGTCAAATTTAATCGAGATCCGTTCAGTCATTCTGGAGATACCTTCAAATAAACATCCATCCAAACATTCGCATTTATAATATTAGTAAAATATCTTCCTACTTGCGTTGTGTCAAATTTTATGGAAATGGGTAGGAAATTAATGTCCTCAACTGTGTTATACGAACACGTTAACATGTGAACAAGGGATATAGCACGATTTGCGAGAAAATTTGTATATGAACAGTCTACAATAGTAAAGTACAGAAGTATACCTCATACAAAATGATAAAATTCCACGCGAAAACGTGCCAGGCAATAAAGATTATTTTTTCAATCCACGCGAACAAAGTCTAGATATCTAGTACGTTTATAAACTTACCAGCTTATCTTAATTTCTATTTATTTAATTTGATACGCCAAATCTATATATATATATACATACACATCCATCTAAACATTCGCATTTATAATATTATTAAGTTAAATAAAAAGCAGCTCTTCAAGGCACAAATTAAAAAAAAAAGAATAAATAGTATCCTATGTCCGTCTCCTGGCTCTAAGCTAACTCCTCACCAATTTTCAGTCATATCGGTAAAGCCGATCTTGAGTTATAAATAGTGTAACTAACACCACTTTCTTTTATATATATAGATTTCAGCGAGATCCATGCAGTTGTTCTGGAGATACCTTCTAACATACATTCAGGCTGTTTACTGCATTACGTCTATTACTTGATATATAAAAAAGAAAAAGGCCTTGTATTGTGGGGATTTACCGATGGTTTATAATTTAGTTATTCACGTTAACATGACGTTAGTTCATTCATATTCAATGTGTGCAGAGTCCCGGGTTCGATTATTCCGAGGTCATTGTAACAGGGGCGGTGAGGAGAGCAAATTTGGTGCAAATAAAATTGAACTTTATTCTATTGAAATAAGATTTATTTTGTGTACCTTTTAGCAAAAGCAAATGTAA